ACAATCGTAAAGTAATAAAGGAGACTAAAGGCAAGATGGCCTAAGTGGAAAAAAAATAATAATAATAATAATAATAAGGAAAGTTATATTCATAACACCATGTTATATAACACCTTTTGCAATATCTCAAAAACGTACTAAGTAAATGGGTGTTGGGTGTAGGTACTCTAAGTAAAAATGATCAGCGCCCCTGAAAACCTCATGAGAACTGAAATTGGGACATATTAGAACCTTATGTCTAATATATATTGTATAATAAAAAATCACTATGTATTTTAAAACCGGACCCTAACCTTAAGTAAGACATATAGGGTGTTATAATAACACGGTGTTATGAATATAATATTTCTTTATTTGAACTTGTGAAAAAAAAAGACTTCTTAGATTAATCTGAAATAAGCGTTTATCAAACCACATATAAAACCACCATAAATTATTGTAACATTATCACTAAAATTGATTATGCAATTAATATGAAATTTAAAAGAAACCATTAACATTAATTGTTGAAAATTAACATATCTACACTATGCATTGCGCTACGTACTTTCGTACGTACATACATTTGTACTTATATTCACGTGCTTTTAAAGAATAATATATAGGTACGTACGTACGTACGTACGTATATAGATTTTAAATATCGACTTAGCGTTAAGTTTGTAAACAGTATTTATATTTTGTGCGATGCAGTTGAATTAATTGAATTCTTTTTTTGCATATTAATACTAGTTTGTAAAATAAGAATGATACGTAAATGTAATAATGTCTAATTTTATCCAATAACATAACTGATAGTGCTACAGTGTATATTTATAAATAAAGTTTCGTTTTTTTTATGCATACTTTAAATAAAAATATTTAGATAATTGCATGACAAGGATATAATTGGAATCTGGTGTATAACATCATATGTAATAATTGTAAATAAATTTTTTGCATTGTTCTCAAATATTGAACTGCGAATTTTCCCAATCTATTTATAATTTACATACTAACGCTAATTGCAATTATATACTATATATAATCGCAATTGCACTTAAAACAAATTCATCAAAGATAAATTTAAATTTCACACAATTCACTGATATATATTTCTTTAATGAAAAAAATATTCTAACAAACCCTAAGATACAAAAGATACAAAATTAATTCAATGTTTGTACAATATATAATAAAAATATGTATAAGCATAACGTATTGTATCATAACGTATAGTATCACAATAAGTTAATAATGTTCTCAAAAAATTTCATTGCTTCATTAAATATATATCAAGCGTTAAAGAATGAAATTCGTTAATTTCTGGCTTATAAATCGTAAAAAACAATTTCAATCATCTGGCTGTCCCTTCTGTTGTCAAAAATGCCGCCCCTGTGTTTCATAAAAATAATAATTAATAAAACTTGTTTATAATGCCACCAATTAAAATTATCGTATAAGATTATCGTATAAATTATTAATTATTACAAACCTCCTCCATATCCATAACCCTGGAAAAAGAAAATTAAAATTAAATATTAACATATATTAATTTAATTAAATGCCAATAATATGATTAAATGATTTTCATCATCATTATTATTACCTTTGGTCCAAATTCTCTAGAATAACAAGAAGTGCAGTAAAGTTTTCCTTCACGGTCTGTCATGTTAGTAGAATTTAAAAGTTTACTACAAGTCTCGCAACGTAGACACAATTTATGATATTTTATTCCAGCTCCCATAACCTTATCAATAAAAATAATAAAAATAATTAAATGTGTTATTCATATTTATGGTCACAAATCTATGTTTAAAAAATTTTTCATTAACATATATATATATATATTTATATTTACCGCCTCTGCCGCGTAAACAGCTTTTGAACAACGTGGGCATACATCATTACTAACTGGAAAAGTCCAACTTCGTTTAGGGGTTTTTGAAGATGGTGGTTTAGTACTAAATATTCCATAAGGCTCCAATGAAGGATTTGGTGCTGATTTTGGTGGCGATTGTGAAAGTTTATCTGAATTCGTGTCATTTTTTGAATTGCCATTAGGTTTTGAGACTGGTTTGTCCGTACTAAGAAAAGACGTGCCAGATGCAAATCCATAACCTTTACGGAATAGTCGAATTATTTTTAATTTTGTGTGAATAATAATAATAATAATAATAATAATGATAATTGGTTTGGGTTATCTACTAGGAAAATCACTAACTGAAAGCAGTGCCAAATCGTGAGTTCCCTAGCAGGTGACCCAGATGACCCAGATGACCCAGATGACCCAGGTGACCCATTTGATAGATTGAAAAAAAAAAAACCTTTTGGTCCGAAACGGCGACCATGGCAGGTCTTACAATAAGCCTATATTGCAACAAAATTCTTTATCAGTATTATCTCATCTTTATCAATGATCAATTTTTAACTTATAATTAATTATATTACCTCTCCATCATGTTCTGCAAGAGCATACGAATCCAAGCGTTTCTTACAATCCTTTCAAATATAAAACGTGAAAAGAATATATTAAAACATAAAATATTGAAATTTACAATAAATAAGTTCGTGTATGCCTACAATGCAAGTAAGACAGGATCTGTGCCAGGGTCCAGTAGGGCCGATAACCTATATTAATAACCAAAAGTTAATTAAACAAATTAAACAAGCTATTCGACAATTTCAAACCTCCTAATTCTAAAAGTAATTCTTAAAGGTAATTATATGTGGTCCTTACCTGTTCAGCCATATACACTGCTTTCTTGCAGCGTGGACACTGTGGAGTACTACCCCAACGTGAAGACATTTCTTAATATAAGATATGCGTTACAAAAAAAAAAAAAAAAAACTTTCGTTGCAGAAAATGAGTGGTAAAGGTATTGGTCCTTATTTTCCAACAAATTCGTTTAATTTTCACGGAGCAGCATGTATTTATAAGGGGTAAATTCGTGGAGACCAAATCAATTGTGTAAAAGAATCATATTGGCTAAAGGTGTTTCTAATTAAGGAATTATTTATGATATTTACATTAAAGTTATTAAATAATGATTCACAAAATATTTTTATACTACGTATTAAAAAATTTTGGCTCTGATAACAGATAAATTAAACTTAAGGAGTAATATTAAACTGTTGTGTAAAATTCTATTGATAGATTTTTTTTTTTTTTTTTTTTTTTGATTGATTTGTAATGTCTACTACGTCTGCGTCTGAAAAAAAATCTCGTAAAACTCAAAAGCGTAAATCAAAGAAAAATGATAATAATATTGATTCTCAAACTCGAGCTTCTCAACCTAAATTGACAAAGAAACAACTACTCCTTAAACAATCGCTCGAAACGCGCAAACAGTTTGAGCTGCTAAGCCTTGAATGGCAAGAAAAACTTTATGAAACTGTTCCTTTGGACATTTTACGTGATTCGGTAAATATATGTAGTTAGATTTTTTTTTTTTTTTTTTTTTTTACTCGCTTATATTAATACATAATTCTTCTTACAACTTCTTACATTCTTCTTACATTATAGGCAAAATACTTATTACCGCATCATTATGAAGAAATAGTCGAAGAAAGGAACGCAAGTAAATTGTGTGGGTACCCCATTTGTTCAAAACCTCAACAAGTATATAAATAGACTTTTTTGATCAATTTTTTTTTAAAGTTAACCTTAACAATCTTAACGATCTTAACAATACTAGTAAATTATTTTGAATTATAGGTAATTGAGGGTCAATTCAGAATCTCATATCATGAAAGAAAGATTTATGATATATCTGAATTGAAAAGTTACTGTTCAACAACATGCTTTGTTTCTTCCAAATTTTTCTCTATTCAATTATCGGATGAACCCCTGTATTCGAGAAATTTACAAAATTGGAAGTCTGTGGATGTAATTCCACTTGGTGTAAATCCCAGGTAATCATTCTAAGAATCATTCTAAGAATCATTCTAAGAATCATCCTAATAATGATGATATATTTTTAATTATTAATTTTTTTTTTTTTTTTATATACTTTTTAAACTAAATAAATTTTTTCTAATTTTTCTTGAAAGTGATCTAATAAAAGATCAATCTGAAGATGACAATATACATCTTGATTTAAATCAGCGTACTGATTACATAAAAAATCTGATGGCTGATCTTCCTCCTGCGCCTACGGGATTAGTAATCAAAGAAAAGGAAGACCATGAATTGGGTACACCATTAGCACCATCCCCTAATCAACAAGATACATATGATTCTGTCGAAGGTTTTCGAACAGACTTTCAAAATGAAAAAGATGAAGAACCTCAAACAAAAGTTCAAAATGAAAATAATGTTGAACCTCAAAAAAATATTCAAAATGAAAAAAATGGAAAACTTCAAAAAAACATTCAAAATGAAAAAAACGATCAAAATGAAAAAAATGTTGAACCTCCAAAAAAAGTTGTAAAGAAAAAAAAGAAAATCGTTTTACAAATGTCTTTGTTTGGTAAAATCTGGACTGCTCTAGATAGAATGACAACACCAAGAACCAGGAAACGTTTTCAGGGTGTGAACTCTCTTACTTTAAATAGTGATGATTCATCTTCACTTTGTGATGATGTTATGATTATGAGACTTCAAATTTTCACAGAGAAAATCATGCAATGGTGAGTTTAAAACATATATATTTTAATATATTTTATAATTTGGAAAATAAATATTCATTACTTTTTTTTATTTATTTTTTGTTATTAGTTTCAACCTTCTTAAGAAACAACTTCATATCACTGCCAATATTGAAAGTGAACTCATTGAACTAACAAGTACTTTTACCTTTGACAATTCTTCTGTTATGCTCACCGATTTAGAAAACCATATATTGTGTATGGTATTTATATACGCGTAAGTAATATTTATATTGTCAATTCACACTTAAAATTAGTAGGGAGTAGGTTCGATTTTTTATTCGATAATGATGATCGACGGATCAGCGCAATACCTATTTTTACAATCCATGCTAACTTTAATAATACGTAACACTAGATCAAATTTGAATGTAAACATTTTTTTTTTTGCGTTACGTCCGATCTTATCCGATCCAAATTTTTTTAATGGTCAAATCATTACATAAAGGAAAATCAGTCCTAACTTCCTACGCTTCTTGCGTAGTACTTCATTTATCTTCATTTATTGATGATTATTGACCATAAATTTCATAATTTCCATAAATTCCATAAATTTTAGGTTATCAATCGATATCCCAGAACTTTATAAAAATATTTTTTCTTCAGAAAATGATAAAAGCGGTCCGTTTAAAGATTTACTTGGAAACTTAAAGCTTACAATAGAAGAGATGGACGCATTCGTTAGAGTACTTCGGGTTGGATCGACATGAGAATATCAATAGATTTTTTTTTTTTTTTTTTTTTTATTAATTAAAAAAAAAAACCTTTTAAGCTTAAGCAGGTCGATAATTTTTATACGACTTAGCCTTAAAAAATAGATTTGCAGCAAATGCTAAACTATAATCCGACAAGATCCACCTTGTATTTTATGTTGCTTACATAAAAAAAAAAACGGTCCAGAATGTATCGCTCATAAAAAAAGAGTAATTTACGCCACAATTAAAGCTCAAATTAATAACGAAAATGTTGTCCTAGTATTGCCAATAAAAAAAAATTGTAAATTGTAGTTCGCGTTAAAATTAAAGCTCAATCATTGGTAAAGTAATTTTATAAAAAAACTATGAAACTTAATCATGTCACAAAAAAGTGTACCCGTAATCATCAAGCCATCCGGACTTAAATTGGGCCGTACGAACGTACGTACAAATAAATTTGCTATCGATACAGTCAGACTTCTCTATAGTCACAAATTTCATATAATCACATTTATAAAAGTACAGCACATACGTACGTTGGATTAACTCAACACAAAAAAAATTGATGAAACAAATCAAATAAGAAGATAAGATGAAAATCATTAATACAATGAATACCTAACAGTGTCTTTCGAAATTTATGAAATTATACCTAGAATTCATAATGGATACGGTAATGGAAGAGAAGAAACTCATGAACGATGAAGATCACGTTAATGTAACATATAAGGTCGGGTGTTTGCTATCGCTATGAAAATGGAATCAAAGTTGTGAGAGACGAAAATAAGCATCCAATTATTATCGAAAATCAGCTAATATAGTCTTATTAATGGAACATATATGCCGGTCATGTCATTAAAAATGGGTGTGGTTGATGAAACGGATAAGCATTAAGCAAAAATTTTCTAATACACTAGTACAACATATAATCTAAGAAGTCTAACTTAATGAATAGTATATTCGAATAGATAATTGTTTTATTACCAAATAAATATCCGAATACGTATAACGAGTTGTTTTGCTTAAAATATGACGCACTTTGTTTTGTGAATTCAATACGATAAATATTCTCGAAATCAAACAAAAGTCAAGACGAAAGTAAAAGCGAAAATCAAAAGTTAAAGTCAAAATGAAAGTCAAAGTGAAAGTCAAAATGAAAGTCAAAGTCAAGACGAAAGTAAAAGCGAACATCAAACCGAATATTATTTTTTAAACATGATAAAACACAACTTTACCGGCAATCAGTTTTCGAAATTGATGTAAGCCAACAAAAAATCCGACTACCATTTTTTTTTGGGGGCGACGCTATGTAAGCTCTTGACAACCACCTATTTAAAATTGATAAAATTTTTTATTTTGATTCTATATGAATAAATAATTAAAATAAAAAAATTTTCATCAATTTTAGATAGGTAGTCGTCGAGATATCTTTGCTCAAAGATTAGAAAGAACTTGGATAACTATCAAAA